AGAGCTAGAACGAAGACTGTGTGTTTAACTGGGTAAGCTTGATAGAAAGTTGAAGAACTACACTATTGTGACAGCATAGGTGTGTCTTTGGGAGACAAGTCCCAAATTACAGTGAATTCCCACATTAGCTGAGGAGCTCGATAAACTTTTACAAATGTTTGCTGCAAGAAGTCGTCTTGTTCTTTTTCTGTCTTCTCTTACTTGAACACATACACTTAAAACCCAAGACTGAGTCAGGGAGGCCACAGCAAGTGAACAAAACAAAATGCTCTCTTTTAGGGCATTTTCAAGAAAGGAGCCAGAAGCCACACTATGCGCCTTTCTTCTGGCGAGGTATTTATCATCTTCATCAGTTTTATCGGAAGATGATACAGAGCCTCACTCCAGAAAACAGCATGTCTGGAGTTAAGCCCAAGTTACCACCAAGGACTCAAGAGCAATTATTCATATCCCTCAACATGCTATTGGAAGATGCTCCAATATGGCAATGAAGGTTGTATAAGAATAGTGTCTTGTCAAGCTCCTATTTAATTTTTAAAGCTGATTTCTCAAGTATGTGCTGGTGGGAAGGTAGTAGCAAGTTTACGCTTCCTTTTTACTTATGTGTAAGTTCATCTGCTCAAGGTGTAAGTTTATCTGTTATGAATTATTCTCCTTTATGTCTTTCATTGCAATATCCTTCTTATCTGTTCTTATCAGTTTACTTTTTCTCCTCTGAATGCGTTTGAATTTGAGCCCACAACAAAATCCTTACTTGGTTTTCTTTTTTTTTGTTTCTTTCTTTTTCCTCTCTCTTTCCAAGCTAGAGCCGCACATAAGAAAGGATATTATTTTCTGATTTTTGTATGCTTTGTATATCTATAGATGATGAGTATTCATTCAAAATCTACTAAAACTGCATGTGGGAAGTTGAAATCTAAGAGGTTTGCATTAACAGTAAAGGGTCAAATTCAGCACTGATGTGAAGTAAATGAAGTTCATTTCCTAATTTAAGAGTGGCATGATATTATGGCTTCCATATGCTTTCTGCTTATGAAACTCCCTGCATTAGCACGGTGTATTGCTTTAAAGAAGTCTTCTGCTTCCTGGGGACAATTCCAGGGAATGCTGTTTGTTCATAATTCAAGGAGCAGTTTCGCTTGCTAAGTTGAACAAGTTGGTTTTGTAATATAGTGTGTAAGGGGTTTGTTTACACAGGCTGCCTGGAAAGCAAAAGGCAGCCTTGTAAACAGAACCATCAGGTAGTGCAGACTCTGGTGAGATCAATGTGCCACCTGTTCACTGAGCTTTGTGTTTCTGTGGTCTCCCAATACCAAATTTTAGACATCAAAATCTTTTCAGAGTGATGCTCTAACTAAGAAGTCAAAACTGTTTTTAATAATGGTCTTGACGCATAATTTGGAATTTGTAGTTTTGTGCTTAAATAGTGTTTTGCCTTCCTTATGAAGGAAAATAAATTTTTGAACAATTAGTGATATTTTGTTTTACAGTATTATAAGATAATGTTACGGTTTTCTTCAGTGTTAGGATGGCAGGCAGGGGCAAATCATAGCTAAAGAAGAAATGGTGTATTCAGGAGTCTGGCATCTGGCCTCTTGAAAAATGCAGCTTTATTTTTATGATCTCTTGCTACCTATATGTTTCTTAGTTTTTAAGAAAAAAAAACTGAAAAATCAACAGTTTTATCTGTGAGGTCTCATGCTGTAAATATTCTGACTTTGTAGCTGAGTATAACTTTGTTTTCACAGAGATTTTTGAGTGTTTTATTATGCCTGTCTTTTTGTGCCTAATGACGTAGCTTGAGTTCAACAAAGTGTCTAAAACAAGGTTAAGGTTAATTCCACGTTAACAGAAGAAAAATAGAGAACCCTTTGGGGAGTGAGAAAGCCAAAGGTCTTTTACTAAGACTTTTTTTTTTTTTCATTTGACCAGTCTGTAATATCCAACGTACTGTAACTATTCAGACTTTTTGAGTATTCTATAATTTCAAGAATTCATTTAAACTATTTTGGCATTGGTAGTATCAATGACATTATGCTTTTCCAAATAAGATTTCTATGCATCTACCATTTTGTATGTATGTTCCTTTTATAAGTTAGTTGTTGTTACTTCTTTAAGGTTAGTCCAGTATTTATTTGAAGGTACAGGTATCCCCAAAACTTGGGATAAATATCTTCTAAATGTTTTGTGGATTTTAGTAATTATCTATGAATCAGTCATAATGCCTCTTAAAAAAAAGTTTTAAATTGGTAAGTAAAAAACTTCAATATTATTTTAAAACTTATATATCTTAAAGGAATGTTTTCAGTTTTCTTAGCGGCTATGTATTTCTTCTGTTAGAGCAGAAGCACATTTCCTTCAGCATCTGTAGAATATCTTTAGATATTTAAAATTTAGAACAAAACACTGGCCCTTCAGAATCCCAAGCTGTGTTCTGTTTTTATAAAATGCAGCCTTTCAGGTAGGTATAATATTTTGCATGTATATTGTACTTTCATCAGAGTACCTCATAAAATCTCCTGCTAGTTTCTGTCAGTCAGTGTAGACTCTTGTAAGAGTACTAGCAACCTAAATAACCACCTAACGGCTTTTTATCACAATGCAGTGAAGAGGGTATTGTAAGATCTATTACAAGATGTAAAGAATAGGTTATTCTTCAGTAAATGCAAACCTGTATTTTTATAGAGTAGCATATCAGGACTAATTGTTGGTTTTTGTAAATGTGTCTGTGTTGTCATGTTGAAGCACTTCCAGTTTCAAGTTCTGCTCCTTCATGCACAGCAAGTTGTTCCACGGATGAGAAATGAAACTGCAGAACAAGTTCACTTCCTTGATGCTAGTGAAGGCAGTAAAAAATTTTGTTTCTGAATCAGAGCAGAATTTACTAACTTAATAAATGACTGCATCTGATTTTCCTTAAATCATTGCCAGAAGAGTGCAGTGAAACCTGTTTGACACAACCTCACAGTGGACTGAGAAATGTGTTGCTTGGGGAGAAGTGATCTGTTGAGTAGAGAAAATTTTATACTTTTTATACATGAATTCATTGTAATATGACTGTATTAGTGACCATTACAGACACTGTAACTCAAGTTTTATTTTCCTTCAGTAAGAGTAGGATGCAAAGAACTTCTACTTCGTGGTGGCCACTTTGAGCAAAAGTTGTCTAATACTGTGTTTTGTATTTTTTCCCATGATTTTCTTGCTCAGTATGCCGTTTATACTGCAGAGTGTGTGAGATAGTTCGTTTTGTGGGCTGAATATCTGTGTACATGTATTCAGATATTTAATATTTTTTTCATAAAATACATTTTTTCTGTAAAATTTTAAATTACACAACAGCTGTCTACTGTTTTCGATGATCGTGTTGCCAAGCTCTAATTACTTGTACATAACATAATTGTGAAAATTAATGAACAAAACTATACGAAGGATGTAATTGGCCTTGATGTTATTGGTGACTCATAAAAATACACAAGCTTCAAAATATATGAATTCTTATTTTTTAAGTATGTAATATTTTATACTAATGCTAGACCTTTCCAGAAGCACAAATCACCGAAGGTCCTCTGTGTGCTTGTATGAGTACGCATCCCTGTAGCAAATCACCAGTGAGCTGTTCCGGGTTTGAAAGTTTTTCCCCTACGTCCCCCCTTTCCCCTTCCCCTCAATTCCTTACCAGCATGTATCCTACATTGAATTTTGGATATATTAACTATTCTTTGGGTATTATTTGATTAGGTGTTAATAAACATTAACTTAGTCAAACTTCAGGAGATTTATTATGTGTCTTCTCAGCTAGTATATAAACTGTTTAAATGTTGTGGATTGCAGATGTATTCAGTTTTGTTCACCTCACATGTAAATATTCATAATTGTAATTTCCCTGTCCCTAACAGGGCATAGAGTAGGGGGGCACACAGATCACCCACAACTAGTATTTCTTAGAACGCATTTTGTTTATCAGTCTGTTACTGTTAATGTAATTGAGCTGCTGCTATCGATAGCGGGTAACTGTTCACACAGCATGTTGACTTATGCGCTCCCGTGGACCCCTCACGTATTCACCCATAGTTCCCTGGCTGGAGCATCAGCTGGGGGGCAGCCTAGCTCTGTGTTTGGAAACAGAGGGTCACACTGCATCCCCCGCCAGCAGCTTTTTGGTAGGTGTTCAGCAAGTCCCTCCAGGGTCCCTTGTTTCATCAGATGTACGTATATAATCCTGTAGTCTTTGTAAATAGTACCCACCACCCTCTTGGATGAGGTCTGGTTATATGAGCTCCGGTTGATGCTAGCCCGTGTTGGTGGCCTTGGGCAGATTGGGCCAGACTATGGTGTCCTGAGTTTGTCGGTTCTTGTAGGTCCAACAGGATTACTGTTATGTTATTCATCTCCAGAGCTTATCGGTCCAGAGGAAAATGTTATGAATTACCTTCTTAGCACATACCTTTCCTCTCTGTTCAGCTTGCTGTTTCTGTGGTAACTGTTCCTCCGTCCATCCTCCTTCCTGCCTATAGAACCTCTTCACACAGGCTCGCCAGAGGGGCCCAGCATGACGTGACGCCATAGCTGACAACTGATTGCCCGTAAATTACAACTATAGTTGTTTGTATGGTAGCTAGTAATTATTTTTGGTAGCATACCCTTGCTTTCTTCATTAGTAATTAGCATTTTATTTATTTACATTATTTTAATAATTTATTTAAGCTATCATTTGAATTCATTCCAACATGCGACTATATTACCAACAGTTACAGAGAGAAAAATAACAGTTTTGTTTCTGGTAATATGATCAGAAGGCAAAGGCCAGCCAACTAAAATATGAGTTTGTCACGTTCAGTCTTGAGCTTGGCATAAATGTATGTATTTAAACCTACAGCTTTTCTAAAAGAATCTTCTTGAGAGCAGATTGCTGTTTTAAAATTGGGTTTATGAGAATAGTTTTCATTTCTACTTAACGGCAGAATAGATTAAGTCTTGATTTTAACGTGTTTCCACAGGTATATCTTGAAAGACTTTTAACTTATGCAGAGATAGATATTTGTCCAGCAAACTGGAAGCGAATTGTACTGGGCGCAATTCTACTGGCATCCAAAGTTTGGGACGACCAGGCAGTGTGGAACGTGGATTACTGCCAGATCCTGAAAGATATCACGGTCGAAGACATGTGAGTGCAGTATGTTTATCTTTGTCAATGAATGCCAAGATCTGTATGTATAAGGGGGACAGGAAGTTCTCTCATAAATTATATAAAGTTTGTATATCTGTGTTTTGTCTAAACATGGTGGATGCTTGATGGCATGAGGTCTACTTGACAGTTGCTTACTTAGAAGACATTAATTATTTTTGTTTGCTGGTTGAAGTCTATTTTACCCCTGGATGTTCATGCGTGGTGATGAAAACAGACCTGCAGAATATTTAAATGTATGACTTGACAAAAACCCCCACATCCAATGAGCTTGCATGTATTCACTTCAGCAACATTTACTGTCATGCTAGTTCTCCATGCAGACAGTAGACCAACATGTAAGGCAGGAAAAAAAATTGTGATCCGAATGACCCTTAGATGATCACCCACTTATTTATTGCCATTATTCAAAATCAGTGCTTTTGGATTTCCCCCTGCCCCCGTATCCTGCTGAGTTTGTTTCCAAGATGTTAAAAATCTAGTATTTTAACTTGCCAAGAGAAATTTCCATTTTTCCATTTTTTTAATCTGATGGCATTCTTAAGAAGTGCATATTGTAACAGCATAGGGAGTTGTGATATTTGGCTGGATGCTCCCAAGTCATATTAAGAGTATATTCCAACAGTAATAAAAAGAACTGTAATAAGAATAAACACAATTAAGATCTTAATGTTTACGAATACTAAAATGAATGCTCATTTCACTAAATAGACTAGTGCTTTTTTTGTTTGGTTGCTTAGCAGGTATTACATATATTGGCTGAAGTGCCTGGGATTTGTATCATCTATACGTTCAGGGCTGAGTCACATACCACGCACACTTTCCCGAGGTGCCCTCACCTGAGCCGGCGTGCGTGCGAGAGCAGTACTGGAAGGGCTGCGGTTGGAATTGGCGCTAGGATGGTGCCGGGGGGCTGGATGCCCTGACAGGCCATTGCGGCTCGTGCATTTGGAGAGTGATGTTTTCAGTCTACCGGCGCACCCCTTTTTTATAAGAACTAATAACAATAAAATTATTAAAAAGATGTTTTAGTACAGTATCCATGTGTTTCAGAGCTCTTTTAAGCAGAGCTAAGTCTGTAATGAGAAGAATATAGACTCGTTTCTGCTTTAACTCACTTAAGTCAGGATTGCAGCCGCTGAAGAGTTTGTTGTGGATAACCACTCTGGGAGGAGGGGAGAGGGAAGGAGGGAAGTAGATGAGAAGAAATGTTTATACAGACAGAATGTTTTTTGAATCTCAGTTTGCAATCTCAAAGCAGTAAAAGGCCAAGTGGTTTTGCTAAAGCAGCCCTAATTGCATTTCTTAATAGTTCACTGTTTGTCAGATTTATAGCTGGTCTAAAAATGATCTGCAAGGGAAAGGTTGAATGTTAGGAGTCAGCTGATTGCTTTAAATTAAGCATGCTCATACACTGCTAGATAAGACTTATAAATTGTGAGTAGCTGTCATTGCTCAAGTATTAGAAAAGTTATCTCTAAATCTTGTATTAATGAGCAATTTGTAATAAGGTGGGTTTTTTCCCGAGTCAAAGTAAAAAACACAAAGCTTGCACTGCTGTGGTATGCTGTAGGTATTTTTATTAGTTCTGGGGAAAACTCTTGTTTCAAAATAGAGGTGGGAAATACCACATAATGCCATTTCAGTATCTGTTTTAAAATATGTAAGCTACTTAAAGGATGGTTGATGATACTTCTTTTCCGACATAACCCAGACGGAATGAGATTTCCAAAATGAAAGGGGGAGGTAGGGGCGACAAGAAGCTGAAATCAGGCCCTTCACATTTCTGTGTGCAACATTATTCCATGCAGAACAATTTGATAATGCTTTCTTGACTGTTTCGAGTGTTTCCTGAATGATTTCGCTAAGCTACTTTGCCCTTGATCCTTTTCTCATGCTTTTGGGTCTTCAGTGGCAGTAAGGGCCTCCCTCCATTCAGTCCTCCTCCAAGGGAAATCTGGGAGCTTTTAAAGTATTTCTGAAGCTGGGACATGAGCTGAAGTAGAGTGCTGAACAGCTTGAAGCAGACTGACAGGTTTGACTGTGCCGTGTGACAGTATTAATCAGGAATGGTTATAAATATGAGTTTTGAAATTGCTGATTCTCAGGGCTTTTTTTGAAGGCAGGTGATGAGGCATACTGTGATGGTGTGAAAGGAAACAAAAAAAGAGGTTATTGTTTTTGACAAACGTGATGGTGCTACTGTTAGAAGTTGCACTTGAGCTATATAACACCATTACTCACATGGCAGACCCATGCTCCTGTGCTAACATCAGCCCTCTTTCTGCACTGCACATTCCCTAAGCCAAACTGTGATGAGTCCTTTCCTCAAAATTTTTAGCTTCTTAACGTTTTCTCAAAGATTTTAGGGTTCTCACAAACTGCAAACCCAGAAGCCTTTGGAGAGGCTGTGCTCTCTATATGGTACTTGGGGATCTGGCTCATGGGCTTTGTGTTTGGGGCTCCTTGTCAATCCTCCAGCAAACATTCTGGTGCTTGTTGACCTGAT